ACGTAGAGTCGTTCTTCTTCTCTTCTCTCCTCTCTCTCTCTCTCTCTCTCTCTCTCTCTCTCTCGCGAATCGTATCTTTAAACATGATTGTTTAGAATTAGCTTTCGCGTGACGGATAGCTGGGGATATCGAAGCGAGAACGGTACGTGGAATGGTATGACGGGGATGTTGCAACGTAGGGAAATCGACATAGGAGGGACGGGAACTTTCTTTATTCCACAACGTATCGGTGTGGTGGATTATATACAACTTTACACGCCCACCAGGTAACCTCTTTTTCGCGCTTCTTCACATAGCGTAGCTCTTTTGACCGATCATCTTTGCATCACAGAGCGTGTTTCATCTTTCGTCAACCTTTGCTGTCCACCGTCAGCAATATATTCACGCTACCGTTCCAACGATCCGTTTGGATAGCGATCGCAGTTTTCCTCTTGCTGCTACTCGGATTGCTCTGTTTTTCCACCAAATGGGAGTATCGAAGGGGTGCATCAGCGAGCACGGCTCAATATTGGCAACAATTCAATCCGGCCGAACAAACGGTTAGCGATAACTTGATGGTTGTATTGGGAGCGATCGCGCAACAAGGTAACCTATCGCGTTACAGACGATTATATATATTCTTCGCCAAATCCTTCTTTTCTTCGTTTCAGGCAGTGATGGGGAAAATTTGATAGATAGAAGTTACGAATAAAGTTGCTTTGATAAGTTATTTCGATAATTTATTCAAAACATAATAATCGCGAAAGCCGTGTATCAAACGATTGAGGTTATATGAAAAGCGAATCAACTATAATATATTATTCGAACATTTTTAATAAATAGTTAGTAATTAGAGTAACTTTATTCGAAATTTTTAATTAGTTAGTTTTTCAATGGGTTAATAAATCTAATCTAATCTAAGCTAACCTAACTTTTATCAACTCTGGTTTCAGGATATTCTTACGAGCCGTATCGCGTTCCCTCGAGAATCGTTACCTTGATGCTGTTGATCGCAGCGCTTAATTTGTACGCCTCTTACACGGCAAACATCGTCGCTCTGCTTCAATCGACCACCGACTCTATCAAAACACCGGCCGATCTGTTGCACAGCCCGTTGAAATTGGGCGCTCAAGACGTGGTATACAGCCGGCATTATTTCAAGGTACACTTGAGATTTTGAAAAATTGATTTTTTCCACGCGTACGATCGATGTCGAAATCTCTGTCTTGATCGATACGCAGAGTTTTCAAGACCCGATACGAAGAGCGATAGTCGATCAAAAAGTCGAGCCGAAAGGTCAAAATGGTTCGTGGATGTCGGTCGAGGAAGGTGCACGCCGCGTCAGAAACGAATTGTTCGCGTTTCATGCGGAACGAGGCGCCCTCTACAAGATCATGCAGGAAACATATTTCGAGGAGGAAAAATGCGGGATCATGGAAATAGACATAATGAACATGTTGGATCCGCTTCTGGTCATTCAAACTCGATCCCCGTATTTAGAGATCGTCAAGAACGCGTAAGATAAGATAGAAACGGCGCGCGAGCGAGTAAACGACTTATATATGTATATATGTATCAGTTACACTTTATTTCGTTTTCCTAGAGCTCTTCTGTTGAAAGAAACCGGGCTCAAAGTTCGCGAAGACGTCCGACTGTATACAAACAAGCCCAAGTGTCACGAACGGAAGAGCTTCGTTAGAATAGGTTTCACCGAGTGTTACTTCGCGCTGGTCGCGTTGGGTTACGGGACACTTCTCAGTCTCGTCGTGTTGACGATCGAAATCGTTTGGCATAAAAAAATCCAGCAAATTCGTTGGGATCGAACGTTGAAGAGTAACGACGCCACAACTATCGCGACGTGGAGCAAAGCTGTTCCGTTCGAATTCGAGTTTGAGGAGGAGGAGGAGGACGACGAGCATCCGACGACAAGAGAGAGGATTCGATCGACAACTCGATTCGATTCGATGAACCTATGTAAAAACGTAAATGAATAATATTTTTTTTCCAATTACAAGCTAGTTCCGTGTATACGTACAAACGAGTTAAGCAGTGGACGGTAAAAAGTGTTGATAATAATTCTTGGTAAATTCTAGCATGAGGTCGAGAGTGCACTCGGGTAAATCTTCGACGCACTTGGCAGGATTGCCGGCGAAACGAGTGAACGAGGGAACTACGGTCTCCGGCGGAACCACAGCTCCATCCTCGATGTAACAACAATCCTTCAAGACGCACCTCCTTCCCTGTGTAGTTGAAAGAGCACTTTCTCTCTCTCTCTCTCTCTCTCTTCTCTTTGTGT